ATTAGCACGATTGATTGTTTCTTTCCGCCAAGAAAGCAAAATCTTACAGCTCTAGATGTACTGAGCGATGTAAGTATAACCAAGCCCGGCACCCTGCCCAACTCGAGATCGGGCAGATCGGCGTTTTCAGGGTGGTATTGACATCAACTGTATAAAAGTTGAAATACAGCTCTGATGTTCTTCACTGCATAATTAACTTTTGATTGATTGTTTCTTCCACCAGAAAAACTGGCAAAGTGCTGCAACACTAGATATTCTAGGCGATCTCCCCATCCTTCGACTGCCCTGTAACTTCGAATCAGCGAGATCGGCGTTTTCAGGTGGTGTGCCCGATAAGCTCTTAAGAGGCTATTTGAAAATACAGCTCTTATTGTTCTTCACTACAATTAACTTTTGATTGTGCTGAAGATGACAAAATGCTGGCACTAGATGTCTCGTCACCCATCAAGTACTGGCAAGCCCGACCTGCCCCAGCTCGGCAGGGCTCAGGCGTTTTCCGCAGCCGCTGCTTGAGAAATGCAGCTCTGGTGATTACATCACTGCATAATTAACTTTTGATTGATTATTTCCTCCCGCAAGAAAGCGATAACACAGCACTTTAGATATTTCTGGGCGACATCTCCAGCTCCAACAGCAAGCCCGACCCTGCTTAACTCACGAGAGGCAGATCAGGCGTTTTCAGTGTGTGAAGCAGCAAGCTGTAGACAAGTTGAAATTACAGCTGTATTTCTTCACTGCATAATTGGCACTTTTTGATTGATTGTTTCTTCCTGCCAAAAAAGCAAAATCCTTGCAACACTGGGTATTCCCAGAGCGACCCCATCCAAGTAATAACCAAGCCCGTCGAGATCCAGGTCGGGCGTTTTCAGGAGTGTGACATTGACCGTAAGCAACAGACAAGTTGAAATGCAGCTCTTATTGTTCTTCACTGCATAATTCTTTTGATTGATTGTTTCTTCCTGCCAGAAAAATAACAAAATCACTACAACACTGGAGTATTGGCGGTCTCCCATCAAGCAATAACCAAGCCCGGCCTAGCAACTCGAATCAGATGAGGAATCGAGAGATTTCAGGGCGGTGTGACAATGAAAAGTATTAGAAGGATTGAAATTACAGCTTCTTTATTGTTCTTCACTGCATAATTAACGCACGGTGTTGTTTCTTCCCGCCAGAAACCTGGCAAGATGCTTGCAACACTAGTCTTCACAGGCGTGTCCCCATCCAAGCCCATTTCTGCTGGCGTGACAAAGAGTGGGCGCATTCGGCCACAAGAGCACTGCCTGGTGTACTTCTGAGCAGGCGAGCGCATTCGAGCTGCCATTGATCTTGCCAGGTCACTGTCATGCCCACGCACATTGAGACAATGGTGCACAGTGGAGTGCTCTGGAAACACACTAGACTGGTTTGAATAGGATTTGTACTTCAGAATTGATCAGCACGTAATCGCAAAAGTGTGTTTTATGCCACGTTGTTTCACTGCCCGAGCCCAAAATCTTTTGTCTTATATTCCATCTCGAGCAGTTAAAAGCCACAGTACAAACCTTTGTAAATGTTTAAACTGCCCATTGACTCAAATGACTGACACTTTGCCGTATCCAAAAATCAATTGCACTCTCGGTAAAGATAGTCAGTTGTCCATTGCGTGCTGAAGATCTAACCGAGCTCCATGTGTGAGCCCAGGCGTATTCAACGAGCTAGATGCTGTCAGAAATGAAAAGACACATGCGAGGAACTGTTGGAAGCTGCCAGTCAGGCTGGGTTGAGCAAATCTTGAAAAGCCTGAACCTCACTACATTGTGTGTTGTTAGTTGGAATTGCTAGTAGAGGCTCTAAATCTTTTATGTTAATTGGTCATTGCTAAATATCATCGCTTAGCTGGCAGAGCGTGGTTTCAATCCACGGCTGCTCACCTTATCTGATGGCTGGCTATGATGCCAAGACTCAATCTGAAACTCTTTGTCTGACGTCATAGCTGGCCTCCAGCTACTGGGAATACATGCCGATATTGCTGCATTCTTTCTGTTGAATATTTAAATAATGTTGTGAAATGTCATTAATGCATTAACAAACTATCAATGTAATCCATTTTGAAACTTTCATTTAAAGAGCAGATGATGAAGTTATGTTTCCTCTGTTTAAAGCTGAACTCCCTTTGTGACGGATTTCGGCCCTTTAGAGCGAACTCCAAAAGAATTTATGTTGGGGTTTTCGGCAGCTAGAAATACTTGCTGGCAGAGGGTGGACCTATCCATCGTCTATGGGCCCAGCACGCTTTCACAGCACTCTTGTGAAGATGACAGGAACTCAGTCTGGAAGCTCTTCGTCTGCGTGGCGTCATAGCACTATCGAAGACTGCTGGGTCACATGCTGAAGCTCGCTGCGTCACTCTGTTAAATGAATTTAAATAATGTTGTGAAAATGTCCACAGTAAATGCATTAACAAACGATCAATGACTCATTTTGGTGCTCATTTAAGAAAACAGGCAATAAAGTTATGTGTTTCTCTGTTTAAGAAAAGCCTGAATCTACATTTAAACAATGATGAAATATATTGGAGAGGATGAGATTTGATCAATCATTTTCTCTAGTATGGGCCCAGCAGCGCTCCGCTAGCGCCATACTGATGGCTCAAAGCTTTCAGACTCAATCACAGAGCTCTTTGTGCAGAAATGACATCATAGCTATCAGACCTGGGACTACATGCCGATATACTGCATTATTCTTTCTGTTAGATAATTTAAATAATGTTGTGAAAGTCACAGTAAATGCGTGAAACAGGCTTATCAATGTGGAAATCCATTTTGAAAACTCATTAAAAACAGGTAATAAGTTATGTGTTCTGTTTGAAAAGAAAACCTGAATACATTTTGTTGTTAGTTTCAGTTGCTAGAAGGTGAACTCAAAAGAACTGGTGGAGGACACTAAATTTGCTAGAAATATCGTTTCAATCCATCGTCTCTGAGTTATGGGCCTTTCACGGCATCCTCTGCTGATGACAAGATGACAAGATCACAAACTCTGGGTGCAGAAAACTGACGTCGCCAGCCCATCGAACTGCAGAATGCATGCTGAAATCGCTGCATTGTTCACTCTGTTAGATAATTTAAACTCAATGTTATAAGTGTCACGATATGCATTAACAAACGATCAATGATAAATCCGACTGAACTCATTTAAAAACAGTGACAAGTTATGTGTTTCCTCTGTTTAAGAAAAACCTGAACTCCTACATTTTTAGCTGTGTTGTTAGTTTCAGTTGCTAGAAGCAGAAGACTGAACTCCCAAAAAAAAATTGTGTTGGTATTTTCGGTTGCTAAAATATATGCGCTAGCAGAAAGGGTGGTTTCAATCCATGGAATCTGTCTGGCATACTGATAACAAGAAAATGACAGACAATCACAAGCTCTTTGAATGCAGAGAGCCTGGCGTCATAGCACTATCGGGCAGTACATGCCGATGCTCGCTGTGGCTCTCTGTTAGATAATTTGTGTTGTGAGAAATGTCCACAGTAAATGCGTGAACAGGCTATCAATGATAAATCCATTTGAAAACTCATTTAAGCAGGTAATAAAGTTATGTGTTTCCTCTGTTTAGAAAGCACAGACTTTAACATTTTTAATTTTCAATTGCTAAGTATATCTTCCAGCGGAAGTGGTTTCAATAATAGTCTACCAGACCTGGGCCCAGCACGCTTTCGCTGCCCTGCTGATGGCAAAACACGACAATCACAGAGCTCTTTGTGCAGAAATGACGTCTGCTATCCCGAACTGCTGGAGACTACATGCCGACATCGCTACATTGATGTTAGATATTTAAATAATGTTATGAAATGTCCCGCAGTAAATGCATTAACAAGCTATCAATGATAAATCCATTTGAAACTCATTTAAGCAGGTAATAAAGTTATGTGTTTCTCTGTTTAAGAAAAGGCACGAACTCCTACGTGTGTATGTTGTTAGTTTCAGTTGCTAAATGAAAGAAGACTGGGCTCTAAATCAGTGATTTAGTTGCTAAGTATAAGCTTAGATGATTTCCACAGTCGTTGCTGGAGCCAGCCTTCACTGCTGATGGCAAGATGACGAGACTCAATCCGCAGACCTCTTCGTGCAAGAAAATGACGTCATAACTATCGGAACCTGAGTATGCTGAAATCTTTGCATTATTCCTTCTGTTAGATAATTTAAATAATGAAGGTGTCCACGGCTAAATACGTGTGCAAACGATCAATGATAAATCCACAGCTCATTTAAAAAACAGGTAATGGAAGTTATGTGTTTCCTCTGTTTAGAAGGCCTGAACTCCTACGACTGTATGTTGTTGGATTTCGAGTTGCTAAATGGGAGCTGAACTCAAAAATGTTTTTATGTTGGTTTTCAGTTGCTAGAAATGGAGTTATAATTGTGCCTTCGCTGCGCCCTTCTGCTAGTGTCAAGGAACTCAATCACAAACTCTTCCGTGCAACGTCACTGAATCACATGTGAATCTTTGCATTCTGTTAGGCTAATTTAAATAATGTTGTGAGTAATCACAGTAAATGCATTAACAAATATCAATGACTCGTATTTGAAAAACTCATTCAAAAAACAGGTAATAAGAAGTTTATGTGTTTCCTCTGTTTAAGAAAATGCCTGAACTCCAACATTTCATGTGGTGTTGATTTTCAGTTGCTAGAAGAACCATCTTGGCAGAGGATGGTTTCGATCCATCGTCTGCAGGTTATGAGCCCAGCACGCCCTCACTGATGCAAGATGCCAAGACTCCAGTCACAGAGGCTTGTGCAAAGCTGACGTCATAGCTATCGGACACTGGGGCTGTACTTGATCTTTCTGTTAGATGGGCAAATAATGTTGTGAAATGTCCTGGCTAAATACGTGGCACAATTTATCAATGATAAATCGAAAAACTCATTTAAAACAGTATAAGTTATGTGTCTGTTTAAGAAAATGCCTGAACTCCAACGACCCAAATTATGTGTTGGTTTTCAGTGCTAAATGTCTTCTTAGCAGAGATGGACTCGATCCATCGACACTCAGGTATGGGCCCAGCACGCTTCCTTTGCGCCTCTGCTGATATTAAAAGATGACAAGACCAATCACAGGAGTACATTGCAGAAAACTGACCGTCTGCTCTATCGAACTACTGGGATTTATGCCGATATCTCTGTTAGATGAGCAAATGTGTTGTGAGTAATCACAGTAAATCGTGAAACAGGCTATCAATGATAATCCATTTGAGCTCATTAAAACAGGTAATGCATGTGTTTCCTCTGTTTAAGAAAAGGCCTGAACCCTGTCCATTTTGTAATGTTGTTGGATTTCCGGTTGCTAGATGTAGAAGAGACTGAACTCCAAAGGAACATGTTATTGGTTTTCGGTATAGAAATATATCGCCTTAACAGGTGGCTTCAATCCATGGATCCTCTGGGTATGAGCCCAGCCTTTCGCAGCGTCTACTCTGCTGATGTGTGACAGGAACTCAATCTGGGAGCTCTTCGTGCAAGCTGACGTCATATCAGACTGCTGGGTCTAAATGGGAAATCACATTATTCACTCTGTTAGATGAGCTAAATAATGTTGTGAAATAATCACAGTAATGCGGTAACAGGAAGCTATCAATGATAAATCCATTTGAAACTCATTTAAAAAACGAGGTAATATGAGTCATGTATTTCCTCTGGACCTTTACATTATCATATGTATAGAAGTAGTATATTCTTGGCAGAGGATGGTTCGATCATCGACCTCTGGGTGCTGGGCCCAGCACACTCACCACTCTGCTGATAGATGGCTGGAACTCAATCACAGGCTCTTTGTGCAGAACGGCGTCTGCTTATCGAGACACTGGGAATACCTTTCTGTTAGATAATTTAAATCAATGTTGTAAATATCACAATAATCATTAACAAACTATCATCATTTAATCCATTTTTAGCTCTTTAAATGAGTAATAAGGATATGTGTTTCTCTGTTTGAAAAACCTGAACTCCATTTTTGTATGTTGTTAGTTTCGGTTGCTAGTAGAAAGACTGGCTCTAAATCTTTGATGTTGATTAGCAGTATAAGCACTGCGCGGGTGGTTTCCATCACCTGTCCTGGAGTATGGGCCCAGCACGCTCACTGCGCCATGCCGAGACAATCACAGATCTTTGTGCAAGAAAACTGACGTCATAACATCAATACCACAAACATGCCGATATCGCTCTCGTGTTTCTTTCTGTTAGATAATTTAAATAATGTTGTGAAATGTCATGCATTAACAAGTATCAATGATAAATCATTTGAAGCTCATTTAAAAAACAGGTAATAAAGTTATGTTCCTCTGTTAGAAAAACCTGAACTCCGACGGATTTCAGTGTAGAAGAAACAAGAAGAGACTGAACTCCCAAAACTGATGATTTTGATTGCTAAATAAGCCTTAACTGAGAGGTGGTTTCAATCCGTAGATCTCTGGAGTTATGGAGCGCGCTCGCTGGCGCCACTCTGCTGATGGCAGAGCGGCAGACTCAATCTACAAGCTCTTCGTGCAGAAACTGACGTCATAATAATACACAGATCCCACATGCTGAAGCTCTTTTTCGTCTGTTAAATAATTTAAAATAATGTTGTGAAATAATCACAGTGAGTACGTGGCGCAAACTATCAAATGATAATTTCATTTAAAAAGCAGGTAAGAGTTATGTCTCTGTTTGAAAAGCCGGGCTCCAACATTTCATATGGTGACAGTTTTCGGTGCTAAATATCTTCTTAGCAGAGGATATTTCGATCCATCGACCTGCAGACCTGGGCCCAGCACGCTCATAGCCCTGCTGATGGCTGAGATGCCGAGACTCAATCGCAAGGCTCTTTTGTGCAGAGAGTGACGTCATAACTATCGAGCTACTGGGACTACATGCCGATGTATAGCATTGTTCTTTCTGTTAGATAATTTAAAATAATGTTGTAATCATCACAGTAAATGCAATAACAAACTATCAATGATAAATCATTTTGGCTTTCATTTAAGAAGCAGTGTAGTTATGTGTTTCCTCTGTTTAAGAAAAACTGAATACAAATTTTGTATGTTGTTAGTTTCAGTTAGAGGCGCAGAAGAAGACTGAACTTCCAAAAATGATTTATGTTGGTGGTTTGATTGTGAAATATCACCTTGGCAGAGGAGTGGTTTCAATCCGTAGATCTCTGGAGTTATAGGCAGCACGCTTCACTGGCGCCACTCTGCTGATGTAAAGATGTCGAGACTCAATCACAGAGCTCTTTGAGTGCAGAGGCTGACGTCATAACTATCAGTTACTGGGACTACATGCCGATATCGCTCTGTTAGATAATTTAAGTAATGTTATTAGTAATCACGGCATGCATTAACAAACTTATCGTGACCAAATCCATTTGAAAAACTCATTTAAAAAACAGGTAATAAGTTATGTGTTTCTCTGTTTAGAAGAAGCTGAACTCCCCATTTTTGTATGTTGTTAGTTTCAGTTGCTAGTAAGAGACTGAACACCTAAATCTTTTATGTTGGTGATTTTCGATTGCTAAACTTCACCTTCGCAGGCGTGAACAATCCGCAGTCTGGGTATGGGCCCAGCTGCGCTTCTGGCATCACTCTGTGATCACAGAGAGCTCTTTGGCCAAACTGACGTCATAGCTATCGAACTACTGGGACTACATGCCAATATCTTTGCATTGAACAATTTAAATGACGTGTGAAAATAATCACAGTAAGCTCATTAACAAACTATCAATCCATTTGAAACTTCATTTAAAAAACGAATAAACAAGTTATGTGTTTCTGTTTAAGAAAAGGCCGGAACTCCTACATTTTGTATGTATAGAAGTATATATTCTTGGCAGAGGATAGTTTCAATCCTGATCCTCTGGGTGGGCCCAGCACTAACACCTGCCGCCACTCTGCTGATGACCAAAGATGACGAGACTCGTCACAGAGGCTGCCAGTGCAAGCGGCGTCGCAGCATCGGGCTACTAGTCACATGCTGAAAATCGCTTTTGCGTGTTGGAAATGTGTTGTGTCTCACGTAAATGCGATTACATCGATGATAAATCCATTTTGAACTCATTTAAACGGGTAAATAGTTTCCTCTGTTTGAAAAGAAACTGAACTCTAGATTGTTGTATGTTGTTAGTTTCAGTTGCTAAGCTGAACTCCAAAGAACACATGTTGATGATTTTAGTTGCTAAAGCTAAGCTAGCAGCAGAGGGTGGTTTGTCGATCGTCCTGGAATGAGCAGCAACGCTCGCAACATGCCAATGGCAAGAGATGACAAGACTCAATCTAGAGCACTTTCGTGCAAAACTGACGTCAGCTATCGGACACTAGTCACAACTGCATGTTCCTCTGTTAAATAATTTAAATGTGTTGTGAAATATCACGGCTAAGTACGTGGCTTACACTATCAATGATAAATCCATTTGGCTCATTTAAAAACAGGTAATAAGTTATGTGTTTCTCTGTTTAAGAAAATGCCTG